GCAGTTTATGAATTAGCAATGAAAATAATGTTATGGTTGGGGGTCACCACCACATGAAGGACTGTATTACAGGGTCGCAGCATTAGGAAGGTTGAGAACCACTGACTTAGAGGAACCACCGGGTGTTGTTGCACCTTTTGTTTTTACTTCAAAATAAGATATGTGCACTGTGCATAAGAATTTGTTCATAGTTTTTTTTTAAACTACAGTCCGGCCCTCCCACAGGTCTGAGGACAGTGAACTGCCCCCGTTTAAAACGTTTGAGGACCCCTGGACTACAGCATTAAAGCAGAATGTTTCCTCTGCAAAACACCTCCTAACGGGTGAACCCTTCTTCAAAGGGGCCACAACAATGATAGCATTCCACAATTTCAAGTAGGACTTTTTGAGGTGAAGTTTCTGTTTCATAAATCAGCTTGCACAAAGTTTAGCAGCCAGAAGATAGGACAGAGGGACATAGAGTTGGTGTAGACTCAGTTTCTCCCAGTGGTGTGCGCAGCACCCACCATGGCTCCGTTGTCCCGGGCCTTCTTCTCGGTCACATTCTTCCTAACTGGCCGGTCACCACCCTCTGGAGTCTTGGAGTCTGTGACTTCTTTGCCCACACAGCTGTTTTGCTTATGGCATTGCCCCACCCACTCCAGCTGCCTGCTGAGATGCTCTCCTCTTCTCACCACTGCACGTCAGTGTCCCGTGATCTATGCTGACGTCTGTTCTCCGGCACAAGCATTCCTACGAGTGGACGACCCTGTTCTCAATGGGTGGCGTCGACTTTCCTTGTCTTCTCCTGACAGTTTCAAAGCTGGCAGCACAGCGGCCAGTTGCCTGTTTTCACTTTTTAAGAGAACGTTGTGACTCTACCATCCTACCTTGTGTAGCTCCGACTGACTGTACATGCGGACTCCCTGAAGTCCAACTCTCACCTGTACTTGTGATTTCTGAGTTTCAGCTGATGTAGGCGGAGGGCCACCGGGCTCACCTTCAGCCCGGCTGATGATCACAGACATCATTTCCTGGGATTTCTAGTCCACTGCGATGCTCCCAAATGCAAGGATTCTGCCTTCTGGGCTTCTCTTTCTGCCTTCCTTTCCACTTCCTCTGGCATAGTCTCTTCAAAGTCCCAAGAGAAATATCCATGTTTTTTACCTCCACCCCATCCCCTTTTAAGCTCCTGGTATTTCTAATTCATTTCTTCATGGTGTTCCTCTAAGTCAGTGGTTTTCAACCTTCCTAATGCTGCGACCCTGTAATACAGTCCTTCATGTGGTGGTGACCCCCAACCATAACATTATTTTCATTGCTAATTCATAAACTGCAATTTTGCTGTTATGAACCAGGCAACCCCTGAGAAAGGTTCATTCGACCTCCAAAGGGTCGCGACCCCCAGGTTGAGAACCGCTGCTCTAAATCCATGTCAAGTGGTCTAAGTTACTTTTCCTTTTTGGAAGCTCATGCAGTTAGGTATAACTCATTTATCAGCCCTTGCTGTGGCCCTATCAGATTGCAGACACTGTCATAAGGTTCTAATTTCTTCATTAAACTCCATTTTTTCCTTTTGGAACCATTACTGTCTCTCCGACGATCTTCGGTAACATGCCTACCTAACTGTGCTCTCTCTTACACGGGCTGTTCCAGGCTCTTGTCTTCTGCAATCCCGTGATCCCCATGGTCTCTACGTCATCACGTTTTTCATGCTGCAAACCTTCTGCATCGGAGCGGGTGCTGCGTTAGCTTCCAGCCTCTCTCTGATTTTCGTGTTCAGGGCTCTAATTGCTGAAGTGTTATCGAAAGCCTGCAATCATTTCTCATCTGTAGTTTTCATCTCTGTGTCCCTAACTTATCTTTCAGAAGACACATTTTCTGCTCCTTCTTTTCCCTGTGCAAGCTCCTCTGACTTCTACAACTTGTTTTTCGCTTGCATGTCGTTCAGTAAATACACTCCTTACCCTCTCCTTCTCAATGTTGGTCTTCTTTACCTTGTTTACCTACCAACGGATCATAGTTAGGCAGCTGTCCTCGAAACTCTTTGATTTCAACTTGCTCAAGGTGTTTTGGATAACAACTCTTCCTAATTCTCTCGACTGTACCTCTCTGTAGTTGAAGTTTATTAATTTTAGTTGTAATTGCATTTATCTTACCTCTAAGGATCCCAAGAAAATAAGATGACCCTAAAATCTATCTCTGGGGTACCATTCATTCTGGTTTCCATTGTACTAGATGATCTCACAGGATGATGTACGGCACTGTTTTGTGAAAAGAGAAACTTCTTGTCCCTAGAGGACAACCCTAGCACCTGGTCTCACTGGTCCAGATGCATGCTAGTTTCCACTGATGGGGTCATATTGCAGAAGGAGGCCTTCCTGTCAACCCAATTCCACTTCATGAAATGAGGGATGGTGACTACTGGCCATTGGCTTGTTCACAGTGCCCACTCTGTTGGTGTGGGAGGAGGACAGTGGCCTCACTACACTGAGGGGGAGGGACAGCAGTAGCATGAACCACGGTTATTTCTGGGATACTTGGCAATATATATTACAATGACTTTTGAGAAATAATTGGTTAATATTTATCAAGAGTCACAAAACAACAACAAAAGACCCTTTTCACAATGATCACAGAACTGACAATGATCCTAAGCAAAGAGTCTAGAATAGATAAGAAGTATGCAAGACTTTACAGTGCTATTAATAAGACTGAAACATTGGAAGCAATTTAATTGTCCATCTTCAGTAGGTGAGTAGCTAATTAAATTAGAATACATTTCTCAGGTAGAAAGTTATATGGTTATTAAAAATGATGAATACAACAATTTTAGAGCAACATGGCCAAACCCTTGGGTTGTGGGCTAAGTAAAAAGTAAAAGGAAGCAGGCTGAAATGCTTGTACGCTGCTCTGATGTGAAAAGTGTGCGTTTACCTGAAGACTGAACTACTATATTGGGGAGTAGTTCATATAGCCTCTGCTGGTTACCGGGAGTAGGAGGGAGAGAGAGTGGGGAAATCAAATGCTAGAGGGGACACATGTTAACTTGGGTGATGGAAAAGGCAATATGCAATAGGAGGGAAGATAGGAAAAGATGATGGAGGCAGGGGAAGACACTGGGAGCTTTGTAAGGGTCGAGGGCAACAGACAAACACCGCTATGTACACAATCCTGCAACAGTGGTGATCTGTGGGTGAATGCTTGCCTAGACATGCAGGCTGAGCCGGTGTGGGAGGGAGAGTAGGGATATACTCACACATGCATATGAATATTACAGTGTGTGTGTGTGTGTGTGTGTGTGTGTGTTGATCTTTGACGCAAAGGTGTGAGTGAATGTGTTCAAGCACACAGGGGCACAGCTTTGAAAATGTTTAGACTTTATCAAACATCCCAGAGAAGGAGTTTCTAGGCCTGTGGGACCAGGACTGTAGTCTCGGGAGACCCCAAGGTCAATGGGCATAGACAAGGTTCTACCTCCTCCTCTGGTGAGCAACAATTGGAGCCCTAAGCCTTGGGAGCAGCTATCTAATGCAACTATTCTTTCCCCCTATCTGGAGGACAGAAGAGTAATGAAAATCAAAATCCACGTGGCAAAGAAGTGATTTTTAAATCCTCAGACCACTTATAAAATTATCACAAGGTCTTTAAAAACGGAGAACTGCAGTGCCTGCTAAAGCCTGGCATTTAGCAACTGATTGGATGGAAGAAAGGAGCCAGAGCTCCAGCCTTGTTCTTGTCTTACAGAATGGACACTGATAGATGTCTACCAATAGCTCGCTACAAGAGATAGAATAAATGGAACCTATATGTATGGTGGAATTAGCTCAATCAAATTGCTATATATTCCCCCAAGAGAAGAAACTCTTTTTACCTCCTGCTAAATTACACTTGCCCGAGGCCACACTGTTGGTAGACAGCAGCATCTTGGGCCGCAATCCATGGTACAGACCGGATAGACAGCCGCCCATAGCACCGCTCCATCGCTGATGACTCTAGTACCATGGTAAGTGCCAGGACAAGTGCCATTTCCTGCCCTGGAGACCACCAGGCATGCGCCTTACCTCTGCGCCTGCTGCCTGGTAACCGCGGGTCCTGGTCAGTCTCCCTTCAAATTTCAGCACTATCTCCTTCGCTCGTCTGGGAGAAGAAAAAGAAAACGACTGTGAACGTGAGTTGAATACACTTCCAATCTCTGCAAAAGATATGTGGAAATACATACAACAAGCAGAGGGAACCGAACAAGGTCAGACAAGATGCTTTGTAGGTAAGAGGGTGGAGTTAGCAAATATGTATCTTCTGACTTTTGGTAAAGGAAACACTTCTTTGAAAAGATTTCCTTTAAGATTTAAGTGGGCTGATTAATACCAAGCGATGAACAGATACCCAAGTCCGTTATCACTGAACTTCCTCCAGCCCTGCTCTGAGTCTGTTAGCTGGGGCTTCTTTGTTTTCGACTTCTCGGCATCCCCTGCTAATGCCGCGCCTCCATGGTTCGTGTCAGCACCCTTCCCCTGCCGGCAGTTCTCTGAAGAAGGTCAGAGGTCGTTTTGCAGAATGGGCTTCAAGAAGAAGACGGCGTCTGGTTCATGGGAACAAGGAGGTTGACTCTACAAAGCCACGGGTGGTTTGATTCTGCCCAAATGACCAGTACTCTAAAGGGCCACTTTGCTGAGCTGACCTGGACTTCTACCCTAAGAGGTGACTCCTGGACAATCGCCAGACTGCATTGACCCAGATGGTTCGATGTTCACCTGCACGGATAGCAAGACTAGAAAACAAATGTTAGTCCCACGGACAGATTAACTCAAAGACTCTTAGGGATATATGCTACCACTTTGCACCACATGAGGCAGTGATCCAACGCATGGACTTTCCTTGTCCAGAGATTGGCCACCCTCTGCTGGGTGAAGCACAGTGTTACGAACTTAGTTCTCTGAAATTAGTCAATGGGTCAGTCTGACACTTTCCTTTGCTTGGAAGTGTCCTATGTGTTTCTTAAATAACCTCCTCGCAATATTTCTAGCAATACTTTCTTGGGGAATACAAAGAACAAGCAGGCTCCTTTTTCTATAAGCAGAGTGGTATCGTCCAAGCATAATCTAACCAGAGAGCTGGGTTTGGGGATTCTCTGCCCTCCTCAATAGCCCAGCCAATGCACTGACTTTGTTCTGGCCAGAACCAAAAATACAGGCAGGATGGAGGGTTGAAGTTCAACCCCTTTCCATGGCCACCACCCCATCCACAAAGATGCAGATTCCAAATTTAAAAAGCTAGGAGCTGATCAGAGCCACATAATAACTTATTTCTGTGATTTTGTTGTTGTTGTTTTTGCTTTTTGGGGTATACTTATCTTCTTGGGTCAAGCACAGTGGCTGAAAGTAGGGAATACCAGAAAGATGTTTACTTGTCTTTCACTGACAATTCAAAGGCATTAGATTGTGTGGATCATAACAAACTATGAACAGCCTTGAGAAAAATGGGAAATCAAGACCATTTGGTTGTGCGTTTACGGAACCTGCATATGATTCCAGAGGTGCTGAGTGAACGGAACGAAGGAACACTGTGTGGTTTAAGATCAGGAAAGGCGTGCATCAGGACTGTATCCTCTCACCATACTTACTCAATCTGTATGCTGAGCAAATCATTGGAGAAACCGGATTATAGGAGAAGAATGTGGGCATCAGGATTGGAGGAAGGCTTATTTAACAACCTGTGGTATGTAGATGACATGACCTTGCTTGCTGAAACTGGGGAGGGCTTGAAGCACTTGCAGATGAAAATCAAGGATGGCAGCCTTCAGTAGGGACTACAACTAAGACCAAAGTATCACAACCGAGCCAGTAAGTGACATTACGATAAATGCAGAAAAGGGTGAAGTCGTCAAGGACTTCATCTCATTTGGAGCCAAGAGCAATCAAGAGATCAAATGACAAGCTTGCCTCAAAGTGTTAAAAAGCAAGGGAGTTACTTTGAGGACTCAGGTGTGCCTGACCCAAGCCATGGTATTTCCCATCACCTCATATGCGTGTGAGAGTTGGCCATTGAGAAGGAAGACTGGAAGAAAACCCGTGCGTGTGGACGAGTGTTGGTGAAGGACATTGAGGGGACCGGACCAGGCACTGCCAAAAGAACAAAAGAACTTATCTCAGAAGAAGTCCAGCCAGAGTGCCCCTTAGAGCCAAGGATGATGGGGCCTCGTCTCATGTACTTTGGACTGGTTGTCAGGAGAGACCAGTCCCTGCAGAGAGACAGCAGGCCTGGTAAAGTGGAGGGACAGCTAAACAGAGGAAGACCCTTGACCAGATGGCTCAACACGGTGGCTGCAGCAATGGGCTCCACCGTAAGAACAGTTGCGAGAAAGGTGCAGGAGCGAGCGGTATGTCCTTCTGTTGTACAGAGGGCTCTCTGTGAGTCAGAGTGGGCTGGACAACAACTAAAAACACCCACAACACCGTGCGATACCGAGATTCTGCCTAGGAAGCGCTCAGGACCTAGCAGGGAGCAAAGAAGCATGAAGACACAGGGGCCACTAAGACTGATGATTGGGTGTGGTCAGTATTAGGGTAAGGGCCTGATGCGCTGCTGAGGTAGCATGCCGGGTGCAGAGAGCCTCGGCTCGGTCACCGACTGATGGTGCCTCTGCCTGCACTGACCAATGTTTGCCCCTCAAGGAGAAGCACCTGCTGTAGCCTCTCAGCAGCTGACTGCTGCTCCAGACTCAGGGCTCTGCCTCTCTCCTGGGACCCCTGTCTGGCAATGCTAGCTTGATTCCCACAGGATAAGGGCTCATGCTGTATGACCCTTCCACTCGGATGCCCATCGATAGGTTCTAGGACTAACGTGCTGCTCCAGTGGCTCTTCAAAGTGAAGGAGAGGAGGTGTGCGTGACGAGGGCATGACAAATGGGGGCTCTGAGCGAGAGCCGCGCTGGCCTGGCAAGTTGTCTGTGGCAGCCATCTCAGTGCTCGGGCTGAGAGACACGGCCTAAGAACAAGGTGGAAGGCTCTTCTTTGTCGGGTCAGCAGGCCCCTGGCAGAAGAGTCATCCACTTCTGCGCTCCTTCCTCAGGGTAAAAAGGCTTAACTCCGACTGCTTGGATAACCACGAATCATCACAGTTTCTGCATGAATTTAACAAATTCTGATAGAATGTACATTTCTTTCTTGTATTTTTAGACTTGTTTCATTTCATTGCTCAAATGATTACTTTGGCAAAGTCCCTGTGTTTCAGTAGACCAGCTTGAACCCTGGACGTGGCGTCTTCAATAGAAGGTTTCAGACTCAATCCTGGCTCTCAGAAGCCATGTGTGCCCTTGGAGCAGCCACTGAACATCAGCATCTCGGAGGACCAGCCCTCTCATCTGAAACATGAAGGTGATCCCTTCCTTACTCAAAGAAATAGAAACAACGAGCACCGAGAAGCAAAAATAAAAGGCCGGCAAAGAAGCATTGACTGGAAACTTTTGCGAGCGAAAATAAGGATGAACTTAGCCATTTGCCCAGGTCCCTCAAGGGATGACGTGCTGTCTGCCTGGTCGGAGTTAAAAGCCAAGACTGGATGGAGATCTAGGCAGGGTTTGACGGGAACGGAATGCAGGGGACGTCTGCTCAGCATCTACACAGGGGCTTCAAAGAGCAAATTAGGTACAACGGTGGTTCTCGTTCTGACCACAGACAAACTCGTCCATGCCAAAGAACTTGCCCTGCACTTGCTAAGAAAGCACACACTTCTGGAACGTTGTGCCATAGTTTCCGATTCAGTAGGTCTGAGGGCCATCAGGAATTTTCTGTAATTATGAATAGGTGAATCTCGATGCTACTCAGCTCCCAGGGTTTATCAGAACCCATTTGGGGGCGCAGGGCACTGCTGCAGGAGTTGAGTGTCCCATTTGAAAGAGAAGGAAACTGGTGTGTAGATGAAATAAGAGCCCGGTCTTGGGCTAGTGAGTATTTGAATCTAGACACTTGGCCATCAAATCTTTAGCATTACTGTGATCTAGACAGCTCTCTGCTGTGATCCTCAGTAAGGTAATCATCAAGCCGCCCACACAGTCCTTTCCCTGCTCCAACTAAAACCCATACTCAGTGCCATGGGGTCGATTCCAGCTTGTAGTGAGCTGGAGGACAGGGTAGAACTGCCCACGGTGGGTTTTCTGAGACTATTAACTCTTGACGGCAGTAGAATGTCGCATCCTTCTTCCTCGGAGTAGCTGGTGGTTTTGAACTGCTGGCCCTGGGGTTAGCAGGCTAACAATAACCACCAGGGTTCCTTGTCCCCCCCACGCCACCCCCCACCCCTGCACCTGAGGGAGGTGCTAGTCAAGCAGCTCAAACGAGTGTCTCCTTTCATTTTGGTTGACTGCCTCTTCCCTGTGAGTTTAGTTATTGTGTTCATTTCTTTTTTAAAAAAAATTATTTATTTATTTTTTAATCATTTTATTAGGGGCTCATACAACTCTTATCACAATCCATACATACATCAATTGTGTAAAGCACATTTGTACATTCATTGCCCGCATCATTCTCAAAACATTTGCTCTCCACTTAAGGCCTTGGCATCAGATCCTTGTTTTCCCCCTCCCTCCCTGCTCCCCCCTCCCTCATGAGCCCTTGATAATTTATAAATTGGTATTTTGTCATATCTTTCCCTGTCCGACGTCTCCCTTCACCCACTTTTCTGTTGTTCGTCCCCCAGGGAGGCGGTCACATGTAGATCCTTGTAATCGGTTCCCCCTTTGCAACGCCACTCTCTCTCTATGCTAGGGATGATGTTAAAACTCTGAAAATTACAACTGAGTTTGAAAGCCAAACACTCTACAAAAACATAGACTCTCATTGCAGACAAAGACAGACACACACACACACACACACAGCGCATAATCAACTACCTTTGCGATCTTTGAGCCTGGGAAGCCAGCTGGACCCCTTTGACATACCTGGGACTCTCAAGGTCAGGCCGAGTGATGGAGCTGCCCTGCTCACACGTGCGGTTCGGTGGAAATGATCATTGCAATACTCAGTGGGTGCTGGCAATGCCTCACCTCAGTGCTCTCAACTTCTGTCCCATGGGCCAGGGTCTGCAGCGGATGTTTGCCATGAGGTCCTTCTGGAACTGTATATTCTGGAAGATCTGTTCCGGATCGTGGCTGTCTCCTGCTTCGTCAGCATTGAAGCTGTCATCCAAGTTGCTGCAAGGGTTGGGCATTGGTGGGGGGGGGGGGGTCCGATTAGTGGATTGCTCCAAGATCTTCCTAGGGAAGTTTAGCATCTCCATGTCCCAGAGTGCAAAGCCTGTGGATGAAGTGCGTGTGGGGAAGAGGGGCGACGTTCAGAGATCATAGAGGTAGCTCACCTATTGACAGCCCTGTTAAAACACCCTGAATGGACTCTATTGCTTCCATCAGTCCTTGCATGGAGCAAACTATTAACATCCTCAGCTGCTGACCAAAGGTTTGGAGGATCCTATTCACCCAGAGGCACTCAGAAGAAAGGCCTGGCCACAGACTTCTGACAAATCACCAACGGGAAGCCCGAGGGAGCACCGTTCTACTCTGTCATGCGAGTAGGAATAGACTGGACCGTAAGTAGTTATTGGCTCAGTGGATTAGCCGATGAGAACGGCTACTCAGGATGCATGATATTACCAGCCGATGTCACAAAAGGAGAGAAGAGGGCACACTTACGTATAATTCCCGACTAGCTGGTGGCATCTTTCATGGCAAAACAAGATTGTTCACGGGTTTCACTTAAATAAAACCAGCTGCTTTTAGAAGCAGGCCTTGCCTTATTCCCCTCCCGCCCCCAACCTGGTGCTGAAGGTAATGTAAAGACCACCCTTTGCTTTCGCAAAGGGACCCTTCTCACCTGGCTTCATTCAAAACTTGAGACGAACATTTGCTTCATGTGAAACTTGGGGCAAAACCAGGCACACCCCAATGAAGAAGAAACCAGTCAACCCAATGTACATGGACAAGACATGTCAGGAAATATCTGCTGCCGAGGTGATCTGTTCTCAACAGAAGTTAATATGCTCATCCTAAGGCAGCTCTTTAGGATGGGGGGTGGGGGTGATATTCTGTGGTGGTGATTAGATCCACCACGTACCTTAGAAGTAAGAAACTGTTGCCTTGGTTATTCTCGAGAACCCTGGTGGCGTCATTTGTCAAGCATTAGGCTGCTAACCCTTAGATCAGCAGTTTGAATCCACCAGCTGCTCTGTGGGACAGAGAGGAGGCTGGGGACAGCTACGGAGGTTTACAGCCACAGAAACCCGAGGCGGCAGTTCTACACCACCCTTCAGGGGGGCTGCGTGTCCAAGTCAGCTCGACAGCAGGGGGGTTGATTATTCTCTAATTCTAATTGTGTTGACTTAATCAGAGGGGAATTTTCTTTAGATGAACAAGGTTCCAAGACACTTTTATGAACATTGAGCAAAGCCTTAGAGCACCCACACCCTTCTAATCAGCCGGATGCCTTCTCCAACTGGCACCTTCTTTATTCTGACAAATAGATTGTCTGCTCTCTCTAGACTCTGCTGACGGAGTCACTGGAGGGAAAACAGGGAAAAGATTCCCGCCGTTCAGCCAGCAATAAAGCCAGGTCGGAGTGCAGCTCCCGGGACCTGATTCCTCATCCTTGTGAAGCAGCAGCAGTCAGAGCCACCTCCCTCTGCCCACTGCTGAGTGTGCCACCCTGCTTGAACAAGAGGCAGCAGTTCAGTTGGAGGAGAACCTATGCTCAGAACTCCGCACGACCCAGGTGCCCAGCACCTAGATGGCGCCGGCTCACCTGAGGAAGAGAGACTCCTGGTAGAGGTTGGCATTTCTCCGGATGCTTCTGTAGCGCTGGGATGCCTTTGAGGGTTTCATGAGAGCCCACCTGCTGCCTGTGCTCAGCTGGAAGTCGGCAGGCAGAGTTTGGTTCTGACAGAGGCGTCTGCACTGGAGCGGCAGAGCCCCTCTCTCCGCCAGCTCTCAGGACCAGGGCTGTGCTCAGGCTCCGCAGGCAGCTGGTGCCCCCAGCAGGGATGAAGCCAGGGAGCCGGTCATGCATATGCAATGGGAAAGTGGCCATGGCATTGGTTGGCTTCGGACAGCCCGAGGGCGGGGTCTACGGGTTACTTGGTATTACCCGAATAATCCTATCAGTAACCCCTTGTGCCCAACCAGAGCTCTGTGATTTGCAGTGTTCCACATGTGCTAAGGATCCCTGGTCCCTGGGAGAAACCCGGAGCTTTCTACTCCTGTAAAGAGTTACAGTCTCCTGAACTCACAGGGGTAGTTCGACCTCAGCCTATAGGGCCTGTGTTAGTCTGGGTACTTTAGAGAAACAAATCCACAGAAACTCATATGTATAAGAGAGAGCTTTATAGAAAGAGTAAGTGCACATCAAGAAAACATCCCAACCCAGTGCTGCCCAAGCCCACATGTCCAACTTTAACCCATATGTCTGACACCTATCCACAAAGTCCTCCTCCATCTCACAAAACACACACTATGACACCGGCTGCAGGAGGAAAGCCGAGTCAGTGAATGTGTAAGCATCTCAGCACTGGCAGGGGTCTCCACACGGGTGCTCCAGCACCCAGGGCTGCATCGGGGGAGGTCCATGTGGCTTCTCCTCAGGGATGTCTTGCAGGACGTGAGTCTGGCCAGCTGAAGCAGGCAACTGGCTAAGGCAGCTGCGCCCTGGTCCGACCATCAGAAAGCAAGAGACCTGAGAACTAGAAAGGCGAGGCTCAGCGAGCCACTTACCTCTCCGCCCTTCAATTAACCCCACCTGTGTTTATCGGCCAGGTTGCCACAATAAACTACCTCCGGGTCAATGAGTCAGAATGGACTCGATAGCAGTGAGTTGCTCTGATTGGGGTACCGTTGTGAGGTAATTGTAGGCTGCTAACCACAGGGCATCGGCCAACCCACCATGGGTCCTTGGGAGGAAGCTGTGTATTCCTACAAAGATTACAGTTTCAGAAACTAGCTCGGCTGATTATGAGTCTGAATCTGCTCCTGTATCTTCTGGGAGTTTCCTAGGTGATACAAGAGGTTAGCATATTTGGGCTCCTTACCCAGAGAGCGGGGGCTTAAGTCCACTCAGGTGTGCCTTGGAAGAATGGCTTCCCAATCGACTCCTCTAAGAGCAGCCTTTGAAAGCTCTGCGGAGCCTGGCTCTTCTCTATGTGGAGTTAGAATTGATTACAGGGCAACTAGCTTTGGAGACCTATTGGAGTAGCCCGGTGGTGGAGTGGTTCTGGGCTAGGCTGCTAGAGCAAGGCCAGCATTCGGAAACCAGCAAAAAAACGATGAGGCTTTCTGCTCCTGCAGCGAGTTACAGTCTCTGAAACCCACAGGGGCAGTTCTACCCTGTCTTGGAGAATGGCTCTGAATCTGAAGCAGAGAGAGTGGTAGTACAGTACCAGGGTGGAAGCTCTCCTAACACGTAGGGACTAGGAAGGCAGGGCTCTTCTTTGGCCCCCACCTTTACCTCTCAAGAAGGAGGCATGGAGAGCCCATGTGGACTTGGCCCATGTTCACAAGCAGACCCCAGGGAGAGGAACAGTGGTGGCCTTTTTTTGACCGAAGACCGTGTTTCATTCTCTTTCAACGCCTCTGCTGTAAGTCACTTCTACCCTAAGTCAGTTCTGCTGGAAGTTGAATACTTAGTTGTTGTTTTTTCCAGGATGACTGCCTCTTCATAATCAGTGTTTTTATAAACATAATCTTTATTTTTTTTGGAGGTTGAAAATAGCCCATATAAATTTATCGGTATGATGACATCAACAAATGACTCAATGCAAGATTGTATAGAGGGGATATAACTAGTGATAAGGTTTATACACAAAACAAACAATAAATGGACCATCGTAAGTGTGTGCTGCATTGTACTTTGAGTATGCTGTAACTTGAGGATGACTTGTATCTATATTTTTAATGTTTTTTCTAACTTTCTTCTATTTTGAAAGAAGAAAAGTTGGCAGAATACTCATACACCAGACCTGTTGACTGCTAACACTTGGCAACATTTGCTCTTTAATTCTGTGATGGAGTGAAAATTTAAAACCTGGCTCTTCTCCCCAAGTCTCTGTAGCTCCCACCACACGATTGGGTAGGACTATGAAACAGGGTGTGTGTAAAACTAATAGAGGGGATTGCTCAGCTTTCTAACCATCTCTTTCCCCTCTCCTCACTGTAAGGATGAACCATCTGTGAAGCAGCAGAGAGAGACACTCTTAGGAGGACTTGACCTTGGAAGAGCATGTTCAAGATGGAAGAGCATGTTCAAGATCTCGGTCTCAAGAA